AAGAAACAGTGGAACCAACCTAGATAGGAAAGAAAAAGAAATTTTAGGACAGTAGGCAGGCCTAGGAAGCAGTCTGTTAAAAAACTAAACAATGACCAAACAGCATGCTTCAGAAACTTCTGTTACAGGAAAAAGAGGCAATTATGAACTCTAGCAAAACAAAAAGCTGGCTAATATGAAGCTATTTATTATTTGTGGAATAATTCTGAGCACCGGTAAGAAAATCAAATCTACTTGATCTGAACATAGTACAATTCTTCTAAGAGGGGCACAAATTTAGTGACAGCATATTTCCTTCATGATAGATCCAATGAATTATTAGGTATGCAGTGAACGATGTTTATATAGTCATAATATTAAAGTGATTTCTTAGTGATTTTCCTTTTTCAGAATCAATTTATACTTAACACATGGAAGAACATAGAACAAAAAGTAAGTATCATAAATCTTTACAATGTCAATGTGATGGGACTGCTAACAGAAGCTGGGGACACAGAGGGAACTGCAGGAGTGGTAATTTCTTTATTAACAAGTGGTGAGTCAAAAGATACCATCCACAACTGATGAATCAAAATGTAGAGCTTTAAGTATATTGTTTAATTTTAAAAGGTAAGTAGTAGCAGAGCTAAAAAGGAAAACATAACTAACAAAAAATGAGGAGTGGTTAAATGAGCTAAATTCCTCATTTTTTTATAGCAAGGAATTAGTAAAGCTGATAAGTTAATAAACGATATAAAATATTATTTATAGTGGAGAAGTTACAAAAACTAAAAAAATAGTCAAAAGTAGTTACTTCTGAGGAACAGAACAGAGCATTGGAAGGTAAATTTTCACTTTTCACTTATATCTTTTTGCATTAAATTTTCCCTGTGCATGTTTTACATGTATAATAAAAAGACTGATGTTAGTATCTTACTGTATTGACTAAGATATAGGGTTCAACAATTTAGAGGACAGTAGAGAAAAGGAATAAAGATTGGAAAGTGAAGTCTTTTGGAATAAGGCTAAAGGGTACAGGATTAGATTATGTAGAAACAGAGGAGTAAAAAGTAAAATCAGTCAGTTCATTTGCAACAACATGAATAAACCTTGAGGGCATTATGCTAAGTGAAACAAGTCCGACAGACAAATACGGTATGATTCCACTTATATGTGGAATCAAACAAACAAACAAAAAATCCCAACTCGAAAACAGAATATATTAGTGGTTGCCAGAGGCAGGGGGGTGTGGGGCGGGGGAAACATGTGAAGGTGGTCAAAAGATAAACTTCCAGTTATAAGATAAATAAGTTTTGGGATATAATGCACAGCATGGTGACTACAGTCAACAACACTGAACTGTAATATTTGAGAGTGCTAAGAGATTTGATCTTGAAAGTTCTCATCACAGGAAAAAAATTGTAACTACAGGAGGTGATAAAAGTATTAACTATTGTAATCATTTTGCAATATATACATATATCAAATCATTATGTTGTACATCCTAAACTTATACAATGTAATGTAGCAATTATATCTCAATAAAGCTGGAATAGAATCAAAATCAGTCACTACCAAAACAGGGTTCTCTCACAGAAAATGAGCATTTATCCTGAAAGTAAAACAAGAGATGATCCAACTGTAGCAGAAAGAACTTAGGACACCAATAAAGGAATATACACCGCCTCCGACCCCCCCAGCAGCAGAGGGATTTACAGGGGGACACTGGAGAATCTCATTCCCTAGGTATTTTTCAGAGGACAGTAAAAATATGCCCTCTAATTTCTTGACTAGGTAGAATGTTATCAAGAAGCACAGTTGTAATCTTTAAAGATCCTATAGGATTTCATTTATAACATGACTCACATTTTTTTTGACTCACATTCTTTATTTCAATAAAAAGCAGGCTATAACTCTTGAAGCTAATAGAATCCTCTCTTGAGGACTGCTCTGGAGTATACTTAAAAAAGTACAGTTAAAAATGAAAGGCTTTCTTCTTTTATCATCTGCATATCTTCCATTATATGTCTTAAGACTTAACTCAGAAATGGAAGATACAATCGATTCAGCTGATGCCTATAAACATAAAATCATAACCTTTGGTTCCAATGATTCTTAGAGGGTTAACAGGCACTTGCCTTCTTGCTACTACTCTTGTT